AAAAAAACAATGGACTTGATGTTAATCTATAGTAATGAATAGACATAGAAATAATTAATAATTAAATATTTTTGCCTTATGTAGGTAGATATAAGGTAAGAATGAAAGGTAAAATAGATGTAGGCAAGAAATTTAAATATGCTTATCATTGTTGACAATTTTTACTATCAAACTTTAGTCATTTCAATGATTATAAAATAATAATGGCCATATTAAAAACAAAGATTTAAATAATCGCTTGTTATCCTTATAAAGTTAAAAAATAAAATGTTTGATGTTAAAATAATAAACGATACTGTGAAATATCTATTAAAGTGTATAAATTAACTAACAAAGTAATTTTTATCATGACAAATAACGATACGCCGTATTTTCACAACCCATATCAGATGAACAATAGATAATGTAAGACAGTAAAAAAATAGTTAGAAAATGTTAGTATTTTGTTTGTTTATATACCTGGATGTCTCTGATGTGGATATTCGTCCCCGTGGAGGCTTTCTTGGCGGCGGTGGCAGAGCTGGCGGAGTACCTTCGCTGTCTTCGCGTCGACGCACACTCGCAAAGTTATCACGGACATTATCTTTTAAAAGATATTGATTGATAAATATGATAAGTGATTGACAAATCAACTTTATTTATTTTTTATCTGTGGCATTAAACACAAAACATTGTTTGGTATAAATTGGTAATTGAAGAACTCTTGTGAAATTCAACTACAAGAAAAAAACCTCTTACATATTTAGACATTCTATGATCAATTAAATTTGACTAATTAGATATGCCAAAGTGTGACAAAATTATTAAGTATGAAAATGCATCTTTATTTCAGAAAATCATTTGATTTGATGAATATTTTTATACATTAAGATAGTTTGATCAAAATTGCTTGTCCGTATAATTGTTAAAATCGAAAATTAAATATACACTATGCTTTTAGGTTTTATAATATCTTAAACTGTTAGTTAACAATAATATTGTCTAGTAAATCAGATTTATTTTATCAGTTAATTATTACATTTGAATTTAACAAACAAAACAACAAGTCAACCCTCTCATCTCTCTAAGCGGTAAATGAACTCTACTTCCTTTCAAATTGATAGCTGGTTTATCAAGTATGAATCCAATACAGCATGTTAAATGTTTGCTAAATGTTCCTACTATAATCTGGTACATTAAACATTAATGTATTTACATATATTATTGTTTATTATGAATTATATATGGCAGAAAAGCAACACCATCGGTTAAGAGACCTTGAATCTTCACTGTAAAGATGAGGGTAAACAAAGTTACGTCAGTTACCTGTATTAGACAGTAGTTTCTGTCTTCGAAATTGTTCAAGAGCCAAACTTTCTAAACTTAAGGCCTGAGCCTTTTCTAAGTCCGCTTGAAACTGAAGATCGTAGTCAGACATTATGCGTTATATTCCATTAACATCTACAATGATATTTTCAGCAGTTGAGCGTGGGAATAATAAAATATACACTGTTTTTTAAACACATTTCACATCACTGTTACATAGTTGTACCCTAAATAAACAAAGTCACTTATCTCGTCAACAATACATTTATACGATTATCTTACCAAAAGAGTGCGATAACGCTTTATTTATTTTAATTTTAAGACATTATACAATTTAATTTTGGTTTTGGTTGTTTTCTGCTCTACAGGGTAAACTTCAGGTCATCAAATTCACAGATCAGATAAAATAATGAAATGTCGTTTAATCGATTTTACGGAAAAATCGATATCTAGCACAGTTTTTCTAATCTTTCATATATTTCTTTGAGAAAAAATAATTTAGAGCTATGTTCAAAGCGTTAATCTTTTTACTATACAGCATTTTCTATCCATGTTGCTCCAAAAAATTATCCTTTTACGGTTAAAGCACAGACAGTTTGCCGAACATCGACTTTCACTCGATCATCATCGGTCTTTCGGTAATAAATTGACGTTTTATTCAAAGATTGCCGTATAAAAAATAACCAAACCTTGGTAAATATTTGGTAAATATCTAAACTACTGCACAGGCAATTCAAAAAGTAGGCTTTTACGGCTTTTACTTTATAAAGTAGAAGTATCTCAAAAATAGTATTTGTCTGGGATATTTAGTCTCGGTTCATTGGAACAATTGATTTCTTGTTAATTTAATTCACTTCACTTTTGTAGAGAGATAAAGGAGAAATAGAAGTAGTTTTCACTCCTGCTTTAATTATAAATTAAATAATATTTTTTTTCATTTAAAATTAAAGTAAGCTGTGGAGCTACGGAAGAAGAAGAAGAAGAAGAATGTTTTTTTTTGTATAAACTGCTTTTATTTACCTTAAATCGGCTTTTATTACATACATAGGTTTATTCTAGTTAAAGTAGCTAATTCTCTTTGGATTTGAACTGGTTGTTTTAAATATAATCTTACTGGTGATTTCGGTCTTTTGCCTAAAACATTCAATAATAAATTTTCATAATAATCACAGAATATTGTATTAATAAGTTATTAGTTATTTTTACCTTCTACTCTAGCGGGCTTAATGATTTTTTTGATGTTTTCTTTAATCTCCTCCTTTTCTATAACGATTGGACTATTTCTTGAAGTTTCATCAAAATTAGTTTTGTCCTCGCTTGTTACATCATTCGTCAGTGTAAGGTTCTTGGAGCTCGATTTACAGGATGGTGTACTTTTTACTTTCTTAACTGTTTTTCTCCTACGTCTAACGCGTCCAGATTTATATTTTTTTGATTTCCTGGTCCCGATTGATGTTGTCTTTACAGGGAAAAAGACGTATTTTTTTTAAATGGTAATATTATTATGTGCGTACCATTAAAACATAAAGTAGGGGTTGGTTTTTTAAAAAATCGTTTTAAAATGTGTACATTTGTCACATCGTATTCAATTTAACTAGATACGTCACCGGCATTTATTTTACTAAGCTGTACCTTTTCGTGGCTGCGCCCTTGTGACGTCATCGGACTTAGTATCATGTTATTGTACACGACCAGTACCAACAGTAACATTTAGACGAAACTTTCGACAATTGCAAAAGTATTTTAAGTAATAGATTAATTACCTCTCCTTGAATACATTTTTTACGATCAGATAATTCCAACACTCTTTTGCAAATGATTTTCAATTTCTTTACACGCTTCTTTCTGATTGCAATAACGTCATTGCTCAATCTAGCAGTTCTGAAACGGTTAGAATACAGCAAATTTCAAATGAAAGTGAATATTGTTCATTATCTAACCATTGTAGTAGTTGTGAGGAACAGTTGGCTATGCACATATCACATTTATTACATAGTTATTGTGATTGAAATTCTGTAACTTTTTAAGGAAATCAGAACTTAGGAATCTCTAGGTTTCGTGAATAAGATTTTGTGTTATACAAGTTTAAAATATTGTTTACTATTTGTGCAAGTTATAACTACTATGTATAGATGAAAAATAATACTTGATAACTTTTGGCTTCTGATTATTATCTTCAGGATCGTTGGAATCACTGCTATCCCAAATGTCTCTAAAAATCTTACGACGTTCTTCAAAACTCTCTGCAATGGGCGGACCTTCCTCCATATTGTTATGTTCTGTATGAATCTAAACTATTTGGCCATGTTTATGGTGTTTTATTAATTTTGTACATCCTCTCTGTTTTATTGTCTTGTTAGTTTGGATTGTAAACCTTGGTCAGATCGGACCGGAGCCCTAGGTGTTAAATTGACATTTTGATGGTCAAAAAAATGACTTTGGATACCATAAATAATTAAGTTTTTATTATTTGGAAACTAACTAGTTATAAGAGAAGCAAGGAGGGTTTATGTAGTCACAGATACGCCTTTATAAATCTTTTTAACACTTTTTCGGTCTAGCTTCATCCTTGTATCAGTTTCGGACATTAACTATATCGGGCTTTTTAACAAGCAATGAATACACGAACCTTTTGTAAGCTATGCGTGATATCGCAACAGGTGGCTGATGTTCCATACTACGACAAGAGAGCGCTCAGTAGACGCCAGGCCTTCGAGCCAATAGCTACACCCTACAAATAGTCATTTAACTTTCGGGTGTTTCTCTTATTAATTTGGATATTCTACCTGAATAAATGCCAAGCAAATATGACCCTAATGCATTATGGTTGGCGCTCAGTGAGTACAGTGACGGTAACATTTTCAACGCGTACCCGAAGTTACTGGCAGAATTGTTCAGTCAGGAAGATGCTGCACGGCAAGAGGGCGACACCAGCGAGGCGGAGTGCCTCGTGCTGCCCAGCGACAGGGAGTGGCGTCTGCAGCAGTATTTCCTGCTCGTCGATATGCAGAAAAATTTGAAAACTGAAAGGCAGGTTCAATCAGGAATATGCAGCGGTAGAGAGGCAATTTGTTGAACCTAGACTTCGGACTGTAAATTGCTAAGCTACTGTGAATAATCACGATTAATATGTTTTTAAAATATTCAAGTAAATAATAACTTTATATCAATTAAACACCTTTAGTTTCCGTGAATGTCAAAGAACATGGTTTATCGATTTTTATACATACAGAAATGCTAATTGTGGATTGACCGTGACCCACACAATACGTGTCCCATATGTATTTATAACTTTGTACTGCAATTACTTCGATGAAAAATGTCCCGTACATTATGTTACATTATTATGTTACACTATGAATAACTAGCTTTCGCCCGCGACTCCGTCCGTGTGGAGTTAAAAAAAACAAAAGTGAGCAGCCCATGTGTTCTTCCAGACTATCCTCTACATTTATACCAAGTGCTATCGAGATCCGTTCAGCCATTTAGGCTACAAATTCTTACAGACATCCATCCATCCATCTAAACTTTTGCATTTATAATATTAACTAGTAAGACGTAAATCACTCATTTCTGTCTACCGTGATAAAACGAATAGGATGTATAGATTTTTTTAAGTACAAACTCTACTAAACTTTTTTGTCACATTTCGAGGAAAAAAGCCAAGCACCATAGATACAAAACAAAAGTCATACAAATCAAAATCAAAATTTTATGACAAGTGTTAACTGAATTGTAACGTGTTTAAAAATTATTTATTCTCTATCTGTATCATTTTCTTACAATTTTAATGGCTAATTAAAGAGAATAAAAAATCCAGTGAATGTTTATACATCGAATGTACCATGGGAACTTTCAGAATAAACGCATCTCTTCAGAACGCAGCTTAATTTGGATAAATGGATTATAAATAATCAATAGAAATGACTGTACACAGTAGCCACTCAGTTTTACAGTAAGATTTTCACTTTTCACAGTATTTAACACCATAGTTGAGATACCTTTCTATAACATCATGGATCATGGTTCTATTCCGTTAAAATAATGTTTTATCTCTTACACGCACAAATGTTCCTTCCTTCGCTTCATTGGAGCCCGGTTTATGGAGAGAATTTACCTAACTATAATTTAGAAACATTGATAAAATGTAGACTATAACTACCCGATTAAACCAATTTATGTAAAATGGCGTGAAACTAAAATATTTGGTATTATTATTGTAGGGAGGAAGATGTCAATGAAACCGCCAAGCAGGGTTCCGAGAACATATCAGATGAATGGGCTCCATGGAACCTGGAGCTCTGCACAAAAAGTCCTAACGCGCCGCCTCCCGTTAATGTCAAAACCACACCAGGACCCGCCTGGGATATAGGACAGGTGAGATTTATTGTACTTGAATAAATATGAGGCAGTGTCTCACCACAGACTTCAGATTCAAGCTGACACCGTAACCGTTGGCGACGCCGCGGAGACGTAGGCGTAAAAAATTGAATTAAGAACACAGCGTCAAAACTACACTATGTAATAATGAATTAAATTTGTGTTACTGTGAATAATACTTTTACAGGTACTAAAAGCAGCCCGCTTGCTTTGCAAGCCTCCAATGAATGTTGACTTCACAGATGAGCAAGAAATGCGCTGCGTGTATTCTCTTATCTATGATGTTTTTAGATGTAAGTATTTTTTATAGTTACAGCAAATACATCACGCTCTATGCGAAATATGATATTATCGGCGTCAAAAGTCCAATTTCAAGAACAAACACATATTTCGAAATATTAAAATTACATCCATTTTTTAAGAAATAAATGCTAGTTATGAATAGTTATCTACTTTTAAGTTTTACCATTTTCCTTTTATTACCCTTTGTTAAAACGATTTCTTCACCTCAAGTGTTATAAAGCCTAGTTATACGAAATACAAACTGCCGAAACCTCTGCAGGCATTTAATATAAAGTGACACGAATCGCTTTACCGCTTTACCTAACACGTTAAATAACTGGGTGTCCATGATTTGCTAACATTTAAGATTCTTTCCGTTAAGCTACGACTAATAAAGTACCATGTAACATGCGCTAGTGGTAACGATCTTTAGACGTAATAAATACGACTCGAGGAGAGAATAATATTATGGGATGAATAAATAACAATACATAAAGATATGTCAAAGGATAAATAAAAGAATAGCGTATTCGCTATACAATCAACTTTGAATTGAAATTAAGACAGTGATACATCTATCTATGCTTTTGTTGAGGGAACTATGAATTAACATTCTTATTCTGATTTGATTTGCAAAAGAAGTAAATTAAAACTGTGAGTCAAGTGAAAATAGCACAACTTAAAAGTAAACTCATGGTTCCTGTACAAGTGAATAACAGCTGTAAAATACACCTCACAACGCTATGAACTAGTTTAGGGGCGTCTGGAGTTATTTAAGTTTATCAGAACGCGGTGTCGTGCGATAAACGATGGCGTGCTTGTATTGCCTCACGCCTCACGCTTCGTAAGCCGGAGTGTGGGGTGCGACCTCACGCTTGTTATATTGAAATTGTTACCACATTCTATCACACGATAGAATAATATTACGAATAGTTGAAAAACTTTACAAGTCTACAACTCAGGAGTGTAGTTTGTTTTTCATCCAACGAGTCGTAGTTTATTTTAAGGAGATTCAGAAGCGTTTTAGACATTTCTTTATGAATCGTATCCATTTATGCTTTAATGTCATGACATGTGATCACAGACATGAAAGAATAAAAACGTCCATAAAACCTCCACCTATTTTATGTTGTTTATGACACTTTTATTATTCAGCCCTTGGGTTTATGGAAAGAATATTTTGCGGCACGCGATTTAGACCATTTGCTTGATACGAGGGAGGTCATGCGTTACATATGAGGAGTAATACCAAATTATATCAACAACGATCAGTAGTACATTCTAGAGAAGGAAAAAATCTTTGGATTTTCATACAAGTTCTTCTTTAACAGACAAGTCTATTTTGGATCAGGCGATTGAAGATATCGATTTCTTTGGAGACTATCCGCAGGTGAGTTTATACTAATGAAGGTAAGGATAGAAAAATAATTAGTTATTTTTTTCTCCTTACAATAGTAAGATGAATAATCTACCATGTTTAAATGGAAATTAACGATATAAAATTGGAAAATGTCAAAGCAATGGATGCTATAAATCTTTCTTAGCTTTCGTGTTTTTTCTGCCAAGGTCGGGCTCCGTCGTTAGCTGTATCGCAGAGTATCGTTATCTGTCTCTGTTAAGGCAGGTTCGACATGTACTGTCGGGAATCGAACTTATCATATTTGCATTATAGCCATCTCGTGACCGAGGGCATTTCTTTTCGAGACACCGGGGACGCTCACGAAAATGAGATTTACATTTTTTGTAGTCGTTTTAAGCAACATTAACTGAACGCTTTTGCATTACGTTTCTTGTCACTTAAGCGCTTTATTTTAATCGGTCATTACCTATAGAATATAGAATAAAAATATCAATAGTCTTGTTTTTTTTGTAGTTTTGTGAACACCAGCACGTCACCTGGTTGTTTCTAATGGAGTTGGCGCGGCGTAAGTGGCGCGCGCGGGGCCGCGACGACCTGGCGCGCACGACCGCACTCCTACGCGACGCCGGCGCCCCCTTTCAGGACATCGAGCACGCCGTCTGGGACGAGAGGGTACATTTCGCAGCCGCCATCGCTAGAATACGTATCAAGAATAAAGCATACACGTAAGTTAGAGTGTTTTAACACTATTTCATTCGTAATTTTAGATACTTTACGATACGATATTCCGCCTATTTGATGTTTTTGTGGAAGCTTAGCATAGGAACTAATATTATAATTTGATGTATCTGTGCAGACTGACAGACCTCCTGCCGCCGCATCTGCGCGAGGAGTGCGTGTCGGCCTGCGTCAACAAGAACACCGTCACCGGATGGGTCAACACGTTCAAAGCCAAGTGAGAAACATTGTCATGGATAATCTATAACGCAAATACGACTATCAACTTGGTGGAGAGATAAAACTTATCCAATAATCCTTACTACCTTCTGTCTTCTAAGGTGCAGACAGACTTATGTTGTTGACTTGTTGCAGGAAAGTTCCATTGCTAGTGAAGCGACTCCACGAGCTGGGATACTCGTACAGCAGCTCACGACAGCTCTGCGCCGGAGAATACAGATTCGATCGAGTCTGTCCCAGGTATGTCAAATAAAATACAATTTTCGTACTGAAACATGTAATGTACTGAATAATTAAGCTATATTTAGCTATTGAGGACCACCATTTCAAGAGTTTAGATTGCCCTGACGATCATAGTTCTTCAAAAGAATAGCTATTGATTAAATTGTGTAAAACTACAGGTTTATTACACTACGACCACCAGACAACGTGAGCATTGGTCAACTAGATCTTGTTAAAAGCGGAATCATTGTACTTCAGGTAATACATACTTTGTTTAACACCAATCTGCAGTTGCTTCTTCATTGTAAATCGATGTAAATGCAATGCAATTGTATGTTTTTAGGAGCGAGAGTTCTGCGAGGGTGCATCGACGCTGTGCCGGGCGCTGCGTGCGAACGCTCTGCGCGGCGTGGTGGTGCAGACGCACGCCTGCTCGCCGCGCTGCTCCGCGTACCTAGCGGCACAACTACGCGAGTTAGCGGCGGCTTTGCAGGCCGGCACGCCGCCCGCGCCCGCCACGCCACATCTAGGGAAACTTGTCGTCTTCGGCGCGGGGGACAAGTTAGTTTAAATGAGATCTTTGAAGTCTTGGTACGTTCACAGTCGTCATTCAATACAATCATCTCTAGAGTGGGAAGCTACGTGAGTTCGCTGCGGGAGTTGGGCATCGAAGCGTCGGAGGCGCCACAGTCAGGAGCCCCGGTGTACGTACTAAGCGAGCCGGTGCACGGCGAGTCTCCGGCGGTGGCCAGCGCGCTGGACGGCGCAGTCGCCGCGCTCGCCACGCCACCCAACTCCTACTCCGCCGTCACTGACCCCATCGACTTGGTGTGCGGTCGCGGTGGAGACTTGGCCATGCTCGAGGTAAACTTATCTAAAATATTCTAATTTCTAAAGAACAATTGAGATTCAAATAAAATCTGTTGTTATGTATGTTCATTTCATATGTTTCTTTTAGATCCTCACAGAATCCCAAATGGACGTAAAAGGCAAAGCTAGAGTACAATCAATCCTGGAAGAACAGAAGAAAACATTAAAAACTCTTATGTCAAAACCACAGGTAGTAGATTACTTTCAGATTTAAAAATACATTAGTGTCCAACTATTTTGCATCATATTAGTACCTTCCTTAACTTTCTCAAACATCCAATGGACGGAACAGATACCAGATAAAATCTTCTTCTTCTAATGCCTCTCCATTTCTGGAGATCGGCCGTCAGCTCAGCGAATCTCACCCTGTCCTGTGCCTAGCGAAAAAGTTGTTCGACGCTGGCGATACTTGTCCAGATAAAATATTTTGCTTTATATAAACGTTGTTTTGTTAGATCCAGCTGATCCTGTACGAGACGCACTCTGCGCTGGAGGCGGAGAACCAGGCGCAGGTGACGCGCGCGGTCGCCGAGGCCAACCGGCTGGCGCGCGAGCGACACGCCCTACTCCGCAAGAAGCACAAGGAACACGTTGTTAGTACGGTTTTTACTTAAAATTGAGATAATTTTATTATCTTCTAACGTGTATAAAATCTCTGATGTGTCAAGGTAACGGTATGTTTGTTTTTATTGTTGAAATGTTCAAGGTAAAAAAGCCAAAGGAAGAAATAGAATTATCAACAACAGAATCTTCAGAATCGATAGATCCGACGCAATCGGATTTCAATAAAAATGATCATGAGGAAGGTTATTCGAGTGATGATTTAGAAAAAGATCCAAAACAAACGGGTTCTGCAGGTCCACGAAATGTCTTAACGAAACAAACAGATAACTCGAAACCTATGAGACCAGGAACAACTAAGGCCAGACCCATACCGGAAGACGATTCCTCTGACTATATCGTTCCGAGAGATCCTGATAAAGATAGTCCTGACGTTTACGTAAGTGTCTTAGTTATTTTTTTATGTTTTTTCAATTAAATTAATTTAGGGGGGTTCTCTTTTACCTAATAAAAATATTTAACACTAATAGCCTATTTTTTATTCACACAGGTACCAGATTGTGACCTATTTGAAATTCAGACATTACCAGGACTAGGGAACGGACTGGACATCAATTATATTCTAGATAGAGATGGCTGCTACCTAGGTCTCATTCAAAGAAAGGTAGTTTTTAATTTAATCGACGCTATGACATTTTAAATGTATAAACAACCAGCAAATGTAAATTACAATACCTATGTTTATTCCTTAAAAATAGGAAATAACCCGACTGGACGCTAAGTACATGATCCGCGTGGCGGAGGATCGCGGTTTATTCGGCGGATCATCGGAGAACACGCGGCGCAAGCGCGTAGAGACGCCCGCT